ACACTCCAGGGGCGGTTTTTAAAAAGTTATGAAGGAAAAGTAGGTCAAAAAGTGATCCAAAAAGTGAAATCACGGACTGATATAATCGACTCTACGCTCGAGCGTAGAAAGCCCCGCTCGAAGAAGCCTGCAACCTATTAATCACCTTGGCCACTCCTTTTGGAATTAAAAATAAAGACAGATAATAACATGGTCAATTTGACAATACCGACCTTATCCAAGTTAGGCTACCAGCAAAAGACAAAAGTTTTCTCTTCCATGATGCCAACTTGAACCTGATCTTATCAACCACTGGTTTCCAAGCCCTCTTGCTTCTTAGGCTAGCACCAATAGGAAAACCTAACTACTTTAGAGGTAGTTTTTTACTTGAACAATTCAGAACAGAGTTCAGTTGGCAGAAATCCGGATACAATAATCAAATGGGAAAAGACCGGGGTCGCTATAGGGTGGCTTAGGTGGTTCACATGGTATAACCATGCTCACCATGATATAGTTATAATATCCTCCCTCAAACTCAAATAGGTTTGAAGATAAAACCTTATTTGAGGTTAAAGCAGAGGGCAAGACAAAGTAGAGAGTTGCAGAGGAACTTTGAGGAACTTTGGCCAATGATGAAGGAACATTGAGAAACCAGTGAACAGAGAAGAAAATCACCATGAAGTGATATTGGAAGGAAAATATGGCAGCGGAATGGATTGAGGTCCGGCGGGTGGCCAAGGCACGGTTGCCACCTGCCCGTAAAGCGAAGAACACGAAGAGCATAACCTATAGGTATGATACCATGTTACAATATCTAAGAAAAAGAGAAAGAGAATATTATATATATTATGTGTATATTCAATATTATGTATCGTACAATTCAATGAAGATGTCTATATATAGGTAAGGTAAGAGTGGGCAACAAGAAAGTTATGAAAATATCTTGATATGGTAAAACCTAATTACAACATCTAATATATATACCGAATATATATACATATATATATATATATATATATTTGATCAACTAAAGAAACTTCATTGATGATGAAAACTATACAAGAGTATAGAATACACTAATAGAGGAAAAAACAAAAACAGTTGCACAAGCATCACAACAAGCCACTACAGATCACAACAATGTTGACACTACAAGGCACACCAACTCATATGCAATGTAGCTGCCCACTGCTAGTGAGATACCAACAGGGCAACCACCACAATAGCTACAGAACAAAGCTTACCAACCTATCCTCAGTCAGACAAAATTAACACCAACCATTACAAGCAAAACTTGACCTCCCTAATGTTTGAGACAAGGCCATGAACAAAAAAATGGACACCTTTCAAACTTGATTTCGCCCACATAGCCCCCTCTTACCTTCACAAGCTCCTCAACTTCAACAAAGTTTGGTATATGGTCATTAAATGCATACACATTCCTTAAGTTCCAAATAGACCACAACATGATACTTGTGGGCAGTGAATCAACACATGAGACCCTATTTCCACCTCAGATTTGCAAAAGGGTACATAGTATCTTCACTACATCTAATGACCCCAATGTTGTGTAACAAACTTGTTGTTTTGACCCTACCTTTCCAAGCTAACCAACCAAAGAATTGTGCTTTTGGTGGAGTTGCATTTTGCCATATCTGCTTAGCTACTTTCAGCCTAGGTCCACATTTGACTTCACACCAATTCCTGACTGATGCAACAGAAAAAATACATGAAGAAGCAACCTCCCAAGACAAGCTATAAGGGCTATTTAAACTACGATCTGGTACATTTGACAGCCAGCCTTGTAATCTAGCAACCTCCTCCTCTTTGCAATCTAGAAGAGTCCTTCTAAAATTAAACACTCAACCCCCAGATCTCTGTCTTCTTTGAACAAAATCCTTCAAGGTTCCTTCCGTATCCATAGATAAGCTATACAACCTATGAAATTCTTCCTTAATTTGAATGTTCATATGCCACCTGTCCGACTAGAAAAGAATTCTACAACCATCCCCAATCCTTATCTTTATATTACTTACATAAAAATCATGAAGGGAAGAGTTAGACCTCACTACTTGCAACATGTCACTCCATATCTTAGATACCTTCCTATCTTGTTCAGAATTCCAATCAGGTAACCATCTTCCCCCTTGTGATCCATACTTGCTAATTAACACTTGTTTCCACAAAGCTTTGTCATCCACTCCATACCTCCACCACCATTTCAATAACAAAGCCTCATTCATTTCCCTAATTCTCCTAATGTCCAACCCTTCTTGCTCTTTTGATATTGACACATCCCCCCATATGCATCTTTCTCTTTAGATCCGAACCCCCTCCAAAGAGAAGAAGCCTGCAACCTATCAATCACCTTGGCCACTCTTTTTGGAATTAAAAATAAAGACAGATAATAACATGGTCAATTTGATAATACCGACCTTATCAAAGTCAGGCTACCAGCAAAAGATAAAAGTTTTCTCTTCCATGATACCAACTTGACCTAATCTTATCAACCACTGGTTTCCAAGTCCTCCTGCTTCTTAGGCTAGCACCAAGAGGAAAACCTAACTACTTTAGAGGTAGTTTTTTACTTGAACAATTCAGAACAGAGGCAAACTCCTGGATCTTCTCATCAGACACTTCCACACCACACATTACACTCTTGTGAAAATTAAGCTTAAGCCGAAATATCATTTCAAAACATTTAAGAATCCTTTTAATAGCTATAATTTCCTTCTTCACAGCTTCATAAAAGATTATAGTATTGTCTGCAAACTGAAGACGAGAAAGCTTCAACTCAGATGGCTCAATAGAAGCACCGTTTAACAACCCTATCTCCTTTGCCCTTTCTAATAGAATGTTGAGCCCTTCAAGTGCTATGTTGAAAAGAAAAAGTGAAAGGGGATCACCTTACCTAATCCATTTCTGAGGAGAAAACTCATCTGTTAGAGTCCCATTCACTAATACTGAAACTCTTGATTTGGTTACACTAGAAACCATCCATTTCTTCCATTTATCACCTAACCCAATGCTAGACATCATAGAAAATAGATAGTTCCAGTTCACAGAGTTATAAGCCTTCTCAAAGTCAACTTTCAAAACAACTCCCTTCTTTTTTGTCTTCTTCCACTAGTTAACCACCTCATTTGCAATCATCATCCAATAAAAAATATTTCTACCTCCCAGAAATGTTGATTGTACTTCACTAATTACATCTAGTAACACCTTTCTAATTCTTCTTGAGAGCAATTTAGTCAATATTTTATAAGCAGAACTAACCAAACTAATCGGCATATAATAACTCAAACGATTGGGACTATCCTTTTTAGGAATCAAAGTTATAAATGAACAATTCAAGCCTCCCACAATCATTGATTTGAATGAAATTCCTTCACAAGTTGAATCACCTCACCCTTCATGAACTTCCAGCACTTCTACATGCATGACAAATTAAACCCATCTTGACCAGGTGCTTTGTTTCCATCACAATTCTTAACTACTTCTCAAACTTTCATATCAGAGAACTCAACATCAAGTATCCACACCATTTCATTTGCTCACTGTTGGCATAGAACCTACTAACTTTGGCCTTAATACATAGTCTTCTTTGAACAACACAGAAAAGTTCCTTAACACTTCCTATTTCACTTGATCAGGCGCCTCAACTCTAACCCCATCAACCTCTACTGAATCCACCAGCTTTTTGGTGAATCTTTTGTTAGCCATTAGATGGAAAATCCTTGTGTTTTTATCTCCATTTAATGTTCATTCCAATCTTGACTTCTGCAACTATACCCTCTCTTTTTTTTTCCCCTCTCAAATTCCAAACCAAACTTCTAACCTCCCTTCTCCTTGGCACCTCTGTGGTAGTGATTCTCTTGATTCAGCCCTCAAATCAAAATCATGTAATTCATCCTCTGCCATCCTAAGCTTGTGACCCTTTCATTTTTTTAGATCACTTTTCAAAAAGTTCAGTTTCCTTACAAATCTATACGCAGCCCAGCCATCACTCTTTGAGTTTGCGCAAGATTTCTGTACTGTTTTAAGGAAATTAGGATGTAGGGTCCAAGCATTCAAGAATCTAAATGGTCTAGGACCCCAATTCCTATCATCCTCCCCAAGTAATATAGGGAAATGATCTGATACATCCCTAGGCAAACCCCACAATGGAAACTTAAACTTCTCCAGCCACCTAGGATCAATTAAGAATCTATCAATCCTACTCCACCTCTCCCCATCAAGTGAATTACAGCATGTAAAGCTTCTCCCTACCATTGATAAATCATCAAATTCCATTTTTTTCAATTAAGTTACCAAACTTTCTCATCCCCTTATCTCTTTTCTATATAGTCCTCTTCTCTCAGATAAATGCCTGATTTCATTAAAATCCCCTCCAACATACCAAGGATTTTGAAAATCATTTTTAATCCTTACAAGTGTATCCCACAACTTACCTCTACTATCAATATCATTGGGTGCATAAATGTCTGAAATCACACACTTAAAAAGATCAGAAGTCATACCTAAGACCACTATGAAATGCTTGCCGTAGCAACACTCTTAACACCATGAAAACTTCAGGGTTCCAAATACACAATAAACCCCCAACACTCCCCATATATAGTGAATATACATTTATATCATATTCACTAACGCATTCTAAGACCTGTTTTTATGCAAGTATCTTTTTTTATGGATAAATTTGTTACCAATCTCCATGTTGAGTCTTAGCTAACATGGATTGATGATATTTCTCCCTGGCCTAGCTAGTTTACCCAACCTAATTATAAAACATGTTCATCCATGTTTCTTTCAATAGAATTATGATTATGAAATCCCAACAAAATAGCTTGTGTTTTTTTGTTGATAAAAAAAATAATAAAATCCCCAAAAAAAGAAAGAAATAAATAAAATACCCTGCAAGTGTATATCCCACATAATCAGCACACCTAGCCTCCAAAATCATACAAATCCTATCTCGTCAGCAAGATAGAGTATTATGACATTACTATCGCGCGCGCGCACACACACACACACACACACACACACACACACACACTCTCACACACACACACATATCATTTCTTATACAGCTATAGGTAGCTAAATAGTTTTGCAATTTATTTTTATTTTTTTGCTTTTTAACTTATTGGAAGAAACAATAAGTTTGCCATTGACTGTAGGAGGGTAATCCAGCATACTCCAGTCTCAGCAACTTGAACTCGATCATATATAACTGCACACCAAAATATTGATGGAGTCAAAGTAAAACAAAATATACAAAAAAAAATTATTGGAAGATGCATGGAGATTTTATAATTACAAAAAGCATTTTGAATTTAATCATTTAAGAAAACAAAATTCAAAATTTTTTAATTTTAATATGGACTTTTAGATTTTGCATTTGAGAAGCGATTTGTGAAGAGTAAAATAAAAATTCAAATAATTTCTCTTATTGAATTAATATGTACAGGTACCTTTTGATTAGTTTTCTTTTTCAAGAAATTTTTAATAAAGGGACTCAAATCTTAACATTATGTTTGGATTTTGAATTTTGTTGTGAGGTATCTTTTTTTTTTTTTACTATATGTTCAGATTTATTGTCAAGAGTTTTTTTTTTTGAAGGGAGAGGACTAGAACGTATCATGTATATCTTGTGTTATGTGTTTTGTTTTTTGTATTTTACTTTTTTTTTTTTTACTTTATTTTATGATTGAAATGATTAATTTCTACATTGCATATTTATCAAGAGAAAAAACAAAAAACAAAAGATTAAATAAATTTTGTTTATTTTACTTCATTTTCTTCTCTCTTTTTTTCATTTTTTTAATTATTTGAATCCACAATCCCTCCACAAATTCATGATTTTTTAACATAGCCTACAGTAACAAAGTTAACCTGAACTCAAGTTGCACCAAGGTAACAGAGAGTGTCCTAATAGGGAAAAGGTTTGCTGGCTGCCAATGATTCTATCAATTACCTGTCTAGATATATAAAAATATACATTAAAAAGTTGTTAGTGTCAGGAATTTAGCAATTTTATAATAGGGTATTTGGTATAGATTATTTGAGTTATTTACAATATATATATATATATTTAAAATGTATTTGATTATTTAGAAACCAACTTTTTAAAAGTACAATAATTGTACTACCAAAAAAAGTTGGATTCCCCAAAAGGGACCATTATTTTGGGACGGAGGGAGTAGATTATTTAGTGAACCTTTTATTTATGTATTACATAACCGAAATAATTTAAATAAACTAAAAACAAAAGAAGACTATTAAGGAGATGGAGGAGGGGGTGTGGACGCGCTCCCGGGAACTCTCTGATATCCGCGGTCTCGAATGGGGCGCGAATCTCGTTTTGTTCTTAGCTACCACAGTTCGGACTCAATGTTACGATTCTGAATCTAATCTTGCAAAGTGTAATGCAAGACCGATAAATCACCAAAGAGTCCAAATCCGGCAAATCATTTTTGGAAAACTGATTTTTATAAAGAAGTGCCAAACATGGACTGCTTTTCCAGATACAGAGTCACCACCTAAATATTTTATTTTGGGGGAATTTAGAAAACCCTGACTCGTGCCTAAGGCCACATGTCCGTCATCACCAAAGTTACCTCGGCTTGGGAACTTGGGTACGGGAGGGGAAGGTCATGCAATGAGCACCCCCACTCGCCCGATCAAAGATCGGCCTGTACTAAGCATGATATTTTATTTTTGAAAACACATGTGCTCCTATTCCGGTTAATTAGCTAATCTTACTACGTGATGCGCACAGCAAACAAGTATAGACTAGGTCGCCTAATTTGGAACAAAACATTGCATATTCGTTTGAAAATGGTTTGGAGTTTGTTACTCGTAAGTAGGCTAAATCAGGGATTTTAATGAATTGTTCCAATTCAAGTAATCCAACCTTCACCCACAGGCATTTAGGCAGTTATATCAAATAAGCAATTAGCCTCATGGCAAGCATGCTTTCATGGCAGTCGATAACACACATGCAGTATGCTAAAGCGTAAACACTCACAGTGTACTCCGAGCCAAAATAAAGAACTAGTTAGAAATCATGCATGGTCCTAGTTTATGTTAAAATGGCTAATCCAACACATGCGAAAATGCAACTAAGATAAGCTCGGCTATCCTAAGATGGCATATGAAATGCAACTTGATACATGTATTCAAATATGTATTGAAATACAATGCAGTTAGTATGATGCGCCGAGCCCGGTGTATGCAATACAGATAAATGGATGCACACATGCAAGCATAAGGTATGCTAAATGAAATATGCCCTAAAACTAACCATCGTAAGCAGTTAAGTAAAAGGGAGAAAGAAATAGGGGTTAGAAGACATACATCACACACACGCACGCTTATTACAACAGTTGGCCCTCTCGAGGGTGAGTCTGAATAAGAAGCTAACTAGCTAATCTAAGCTAATTAAACTAATTATTACACAACGAATAAGCTAATTAACTAACCCTAGTTAACTAATTATTACAAAAAAAATGAATAGTTAACGTATTAACTAATTAGGTACAAACCAAATCGTAAACTAGCTATCTAAGCATGGCAGCTAAGGAAAGCAATAAAAACAGGAGCCTCGAGGCGAGAAGAATTCATGCATGCCTGGTTGCCTCGTTTGGAAATCCGTCGCGATGCCCCGATTTGCCTCTGTTTGCAACTGTACTCAGGACCTTGCACCAAGCTCCAAATAGCTTCTAACACATCTTGGGGACCTGTGGGAGGGTGGCCGACCAGTTGTTGGTGTTTGTATCCACCTGCCGACCACATTTTGCTACTGCAAACCAGAAAAAGTGGTCGGCCAGCTAGTTTTTCTGGCTAGCTGACCAGTTGTTGCTGCATTTATCCACTTTGCTGCAATAGAGAGCAAGAAAGGACATGGCAATGTATTTGCAAGGTATGTGTGCACAACCACCCTCCCTATCATTTCATAAGCTCAAGTAAGTGTGGTTCTCGACCCTCAGGCCACTAATCGCGTATCTTGATGCATGATGGCCGAGAGGCGAAGTTGCACAATTCAATATGAAAATGAATGCACAAGTAAACACATAAGGCCTAAAACTCTATCATGTATGATCAGGAGCGTCGACGACCGGGAGAGAATTGAGGTATGAAACGTCCCTCATTTCCCGTGTTTGGACTAACACTTATTCCAAACACAATGCAACATATAACACGGCATGCACAATGCTATGTAACATGGAATATGCAAAAATGCAATGCAACGCAAGCATGCAAATATGCAATATGACTTAAGCATGCAAACATGCAATGGACAAGCATGCAAACATGAACAACCTAACAAGGCTAATGACATGCGAACAATGTTAATGCATGCATACACAATGCAATGCAACAAGGGCAACTTATCAATGTTAGGGACATGCATATTAACCTAAGCATGCTAAACAATATGCAAATGAACATGCTAAATGGACTTAAACCAAAAAGGGTAGACCTCAGTCATGCCCAAATCAGTGGCCATAATGCATCAAAACTAAGGCATGAAAGCATATACAAGCATGCATGCCAATTGGCTCACCAATTAGACCTAAGAGCACAACTCTCAAGAGTGCTCAAAGAGTGACAAAAGTGGAAGCGTAGCAACAATAAGTGCACTGAAATTAAGTAAGAAATGATGCCAAATCATTCAAACAAAGCAAGTAAAGCATGCAAAGGTTCTAAAGCATGAAAGCTAATAAAGAGGACTACAAAAGAGGACTACAAAGGAGGCATGCAATACATGGCACAAATGCATGAACCAACCATAAACAGAGCTCAAGTAGGTCAAAACATGGACCAAAACATGCTAAGTTAGGGGCTCAAAGGCCTAGGCAAGATGGCATACATGCTATGCTACAAACTAGGCAACAATGCACAACACTCAAAGACACTTAAAGAATGAATGAAGTGGGAACATGGCAATGATACATGCTCTGAAATGAAGTATTAAATGATGCCAAATCATCTAAATAGCTCAAAGACAGCATGCATGAGTCACCAAAACACAAAGCTAGCAAGGCCAATTGCACTATAGCTATACAAAGCATGAAGGATATGGCAAAGGAAACCCAAAACAGTCCTAGAACATGTCAAAATGATACTAAAACATGCATGGAAGGAAGCCAAAACAAGCTAACATGAAGGGCATAAGGCGCAATGCATACAAGGCAAATAAGGTGGATTACACTACACCTATTAAGACCAAGTATGGGATGACTTAACCAATAAAAACAAGAGTTATATCATGGAAAAATAACCCCAAAAACACATTGAAATGATGGTTCGCAAGCTAAGGCATGAAGGCATACGCAATGGCTCATGTTAAGGCATAAAGGGCAAACCCTCCAACGCATTGAATGAGTGATAAATGCAAGTGCATGAGCATGAAACATGGACTGAAATCACATAATAAATGATGCCAAATCATTCAAATAGGCCAACTAATGCATGCTAGTGGACTCGGTACACAAAGCTAACAAGCTAGATTGAACTATGGCTATACAAAGCAAGTCATGCATGACCAAAACAACCAAAATTAGAGCTAGAGCATGCTAAAATATGGACAAAAGCTTCTTGAAGTTAAGCCAAAAGCATGCTAGAATGACATGTTAGAGCATGATGCATGTTAGGCTATTTCATGGAATTGCACTACAAGTGCATGAGGCATGCAAGAGGTGACCAAACCAAACCCTAACAGAGGTATGACATGGCAAAAAATCACCAAAAACATGCTAAAATGGAAACAAAACAAGCTAGAATGACATGCTACTTCATGAAGCATACAAGACTAGTTTGTGTGATTTACACTACAAGTGTATTATGCATATCCTACTACACAAATACTTTAATTCACTCCACATAAGCACCTTAGTCACATAAACACATACGAATTATCCATTAGTGATGAGACTCGTCCCATGAAAAACCAAGAATTCTTAGTAGAATGAGTATTGGTCAGGTACCCTTCTAATAAGACCTCAAGGAATTTAATAGGCTGAAATAACATCCCTAAAGTCCAATCTCATACCCACATTGTCATATAAACATGCTATCACACAATCACAAATAAACAAAACACTTCCCAATCATGCGATATGAACCCATTGTGGTAGATGACCACTTCCCGCGAGACCCAAGTATTCAAACCCAGTAGCTCTAATACCAAGTTGTAACGCCCCGAAAATAATCCAACATGAACCACCCACATCAAATAACATACACTATATCATAATAATAGACCTTCCATCTTCTCATAACCAAAAAGAGAGTTTATACAAAAGCTCACATGCGGATATACATTCAAGGATAAAGAAAACACGTGACTCTATAGCATGTGAGTCATCAAAATCCAAAATAATGAAATGCCCTTAAGGGCTTACATCTTCCAATGCAATAGCCCGGTTACACAAAATGGCCTCGCAGACCCATACATGTTAGCCCTTGGCTTTACAAAAAGAATTACAACAAAAGGGAGAGCTATTTACTCTTCACAAAAATATCAACACCCTCAGTTCGGCGGGATCACAACATCTTTACCTACACCAAATCCCAATAGGGGTGAGCATAAAGCCTAGTAGAGAAACCTTAACAAAGTATATACATTTATGTAAGATGCCCAATGCCAAATGCAAGTATAAAAACCTATGTCATGCATTGCCAATTAAAAATAATCTCAATGTCATGCCTGTCATGAAAATCTCCATGTTTTGAATATCATTCAGCAATTTCATGAGTTTCCATACTTTTTAATTAAAAGGGGCGGTAAATACGACACTGGTAATCCCTACGCTGGTGTCTGCAAGTAGACTATACAAGTACTACCAAACTGTCTTTTTTACCGATATTAACCGGAAGGCTCGACACCTACCCGCGTGGCTTTCTGGTCTTTCACCAAGGACACTCAGGCCAACTTAACAAGTTCACTACACCTCCTATCCAGACTTACCAACGTAGTTACCCTTTAGACATTCCATAGTTCTCATTACAGTATAATCCTTCTCATGTAAGCATGATGAGAAAATAAGAATGGTAATACCTCACTACATATGCTTCTATGATAATAATTCAAATGAGAATGCAATGCATTAATCCATACCTCATAACGCTTCTCCATTCTTGAATACCTCTACAACATGGTCAATTAATTTTCACTTCTCAAACATGAGATAGAGTTTATTAAATAAAATCATCATCTTCTTGAAACCCAAACCCATTTTCAAAATAGTAAAAGAAACCCACAAAATCAACCCAAAACTTACATAGGCATACATATAACTCAAGGAAACCGTACCTCAATGTTTGATGAAGAGGAGAGAGGAAACCCTAGATCCAAGATGAGGATTCTTCAACTTCTCCTACTCCAAGAAGCCCTAGCTTTTGATCTCCAAAGCTTAAGAGGAAGAGATGATAAAGATGATGAACCTTAAACCAAGAGATGTGCAAAATCAAAGGGTTTTTAGTGTTGGAGAGGGTTTTCTAGAGAGAAGGAGGAGAGAAAATTGCCATTAGAGTGAGAGAGTGAAACCCTAAAGTGAGACACAACTCGGCCAAAAAGTTACAAAAATGCAAATTTTCGGACTCAGGCCGACCGCACGTGCGGCACCCTTCCCCGCACGTGCGAAGCGCGCCCTCCCGCACGTGCGGCACTTCCCCCACCTCACTCACGCAGGTGCATATAATCCAGTGTACTGCCCAACTCCTCCCCTAAATTCCGCACGTGCGGCCTGGCCTCCCGCACGTGCAACCCTATCTCGCACGTGCGACCAGTGGCCCCCGCACGTGCGGCCAAGCCTAGCTAGCCTAGAAAAATCCCAGTACAAAACTTAGCACTCCGGACCTGACCTCGTACTCCACGGAGTCACCTAACAAGACAAGGACACGAACTTTACTTAGGGGACTACCTCCGAACGTTTCCAATTCAATAGAAGCAAAAGGGAAATGGAGCGAAGACTGAAGAAAAATAGGAGAAAGAGACCCGGTCGTCACATTTACCCCTTGGGTCATTTTAGTCTTTGTACGTTCAATTAGCTTGATTTTGACCTTGAATTTATGATTATTGTTTCAATTTGATCCAATTGAATACAACTCTTAGCATTTAAAAAAATAAAAAAAAAATAAGAATGTACGTGTCACGTGCCATATTTTTAAGGGTAAAATTATAAACTTATTCAACTCAGTTAGTTAACCTCAATCAATTTAGTGATAATTTTCCTTAAAAAAACTAACAATATTATTAATTGGACAAATTAAAATAAAATCTAAAATTAGGAATTAAAATTGAACTAATTGAAAGTGCAGAGACCAAAATGACACAAGAAGTAAAACATAGGGACCACCGTCTTAATTTGCCTTTTTTTTTTTATAAAGGAGGATCAACTTATTATATTCAGCTGATTAATCATAACTGGACGTTTAACGTGTTTATTATAAAATTTTCCTGTAAATATTATGAAATTTATGCATATATATTAATAATAAAGGATGATCAACTTACTTTACTCCTATAGCCGCTTAAGGTAGGAGAACTGTACTTCGTCGCAGCGGTGATCATTTTCATCCACAGTTGCGCATTCCTAAAAGAAAAGAAAGTAAAATACATATAAATAAAAAATACATATGAAGCACTCCAGTTGAGTAGTCTCTGGTAAATATTCAAAGATAAAAGATTTCATCAACTGACAAAAATAATTAACCGTAGATCAAGTTGAAAAAGAAAGTCTACCTCTCCTTTCAAAAGAAGTCGTTCTTTTAAATACTTATTGAGATCTTCTATTTGAAGGCCATCATTGCCATGTGTACTTACAAATATCTGTGACATGCGTACTTGTCCAAAAGTAAAGTTGTGCATATTCAGACACCTCTTCAAAACAACTCTTTGCAATGATGGAAAATTAAAATTATATTTCGCATTACAGAAACTGTTGAGGTTTGGTAGATCTTTCAGTATTAGCCACTCCAACTTTGGGAATTCAATCACATCATCAATCACTTCCTTGAGGCCATCCTCTGTTGCTGCAATAACTTCTTCCATCACCGGACAAGACTCCAAATGAAGTACTTTAAGTTGTTGAAGAGCCATGGCTGTGGAACATGTGAATAGATTTCTCAAGAGGTAACATTTCTTAATTGTTAGGTATTGTAGGATTTGAAGGCCCAGAATTCCATGGGGATCCTTGTTCCATAAACATGTCAACTGAGGTAACGCATCCAATTCCATCATTCTTACTTCAATTAATGGCCTAACATGTTGTCCTTCTCCAACATTTAGCTCCTCAAGTTGAAAAACATCTGCCACCTCACTACAATTTCTCACAATTAATTTGTTCAGATTTGCTACGTCCAAGAATTTTAAATTTATTTTGCCAACTTGAACATTCCAAGGATGTATCTCCTTTGAGTTTACACAATTATTGAGAATTAGTGTCTCCAACCTTGGAAAAGAAACCTACAAAGATTCATTTTGGTATCTTACTTAATAATAGAATGAAGTAGGCTTGTATATTGGAATTCAACGTCAGTGATGATTGATGAGACATGTTTCTCATATTGATGAGCCAAAATTTTATTTTATGTATGAATTATAAATTTAAGTAAAGATTTTTTGAAAAAAAAAATGTAAGAGCAATGTCAATAAAATATAAATTAATTTTTTTTTTTATTTCCCTCAGTCTTTCTAAATTTATATCCAAATGTTCAAAATAAATAAATAAATAAATATATATATATATATATATATGTATGTACAGATTTGTTTATTAGAAATGATAAATCATGTAAATAATGATTGGCAAGTGACATACGCAATGCGTGTGCAATTCAGATAAGTAAGAAAAAAATAAATAATAAAGAATTTAATATTACAATATGTATGTTACCTAAGTGGTAAGGTTGTTCTTAATGAAACTCAAAGTCTTGGGATCAAACCTTGATCACACGTTTGAATTACAATTTTTTAATTTATGCTAGACAAAGCTGCCACATAGCATGGCGTGAAGGCTTGACTAAACAAAACAAAAAATGAGATACACATATCTCATAAAAGGTAGATCTCACATATATTTGGAGGTGTAAATCCTTATTATTTTAAATTTTCTAACATAATATATGATATTTTCTAAATTTTTTGGGTGCGGTCGCCTCCCTCCACACCCCCTAAATCCATCCTTAGGATCTCACCCATTATATGATATCTATTTCATTATGTGGTTAGTTTTTGGATGATTGCTTTATTCCATTTACAAATTAACACTCAACCTTTTGTCTCCTAGAACATTAAATAATTTCTGTTAGTTTTTGTGTTATTGACATTGATATAGCAAGATTGGCCCCTAATAAATATAGCACTAAAGTGGAGAAGATTGAGCTTTAAGTTGTAATTCGTTAATTGCTAGTAACAACTCCAGCTAGCATGCATAGTCCGTCAATTAATGTAGTTTTAAAATTGGATCACTGGTCGGGATTGAACTTCCAAGAAGTTTCCTAAGATGTTTTGGGTAGGGGCAAGTTAACATTTTCATAATGGTAAAGTTGTGGGAGTTGATCTGTGACCTCCTATAATAGGGATTGCTCAATATTTTTGAGGTTTTAGAAGAAATTATAATAGTGATTTTTCCATATTCAAATATTACAACTAGGAATCATGTAGAAATTGATATAATTTCCTAAAACCCAAGAGGCTTAATTCCAAAGGAAGGCAATTGAGGATTGATGATCGGGAAATTGCAATCTAAATTTAAAGTGGTTATGAGGGAATAATTTTGGATTGTGAAACAGAATAAAATCATATCAGTCAAAACCAAAAAAACAAAATATGACAACCAATATATAAATATTTTTTTAATGAACTCCAAATCAAGATTAGGCAAATTACAATTTTGGACATAATTTTAGTCAAATAAAATCATATTATGATTCATCTTCAAAATAAAAACATAGTGTTAAATTTAGAATTCATACATATTTTTGTTTGGGTAATATTGTAATTTCCATCATAAGCCCCTAGCATATCCACCTTGAAATTATTTTACTTTTATTTGGATTTGGATAGAAAGAGAATATTCAAATAAGCTTCAAATTTAAAATTGTAATTGAAAAGGATTTATTTTTTTTTTTTTGTGTGTGTGCACGCTTTCCAATGGCCAAGGATAATAAAATAAATTGGGAAAATCAAACCTGGTGGTTGAACAAGGGTTGTGCTTTAGATCTTGTAGGCCAGTTGTAGAAACTTTTAAGGCTCACCAAATCATAAAGATCAAGAGTTGTTTATTGAGAGAACACGATGATGTCATTATTGGTGGTTCCTTCTTTTTCTTTCTCTGAGACTATCACTTCGACCTTTGGACAATTATCTACCTTGAATATGTTAAAATTTTGCAGTCGTTGGAGCATATTGAACTGAACCACATGCACCAATTTCTCACAATCAGAAACCGTCATATTTTTCAGTTGGCAGAAGGACTTTGATTCTTTTTCTAAAGCTATGAGTAATTGCTTGTCCCATATCTCTATTATAGTAGGCAATTTTTGAATTTTCAAATACTCCAAGACTGGGAAAGCAACCTGTAAAGTAGTTTACAACACTTTAGGTTAGTGACTGTTACAAAATTCTAGATAAGCAACAATTGACAAATGCAACACTTTCAACATGCATGCTCTAATCAATTTTTTTTATCAACACAAATTTGATGAGAGAAAACCTTACAAAAAGAAAGGTAGACATCAATAAAGGTGGGGTGGGGGGGTGATGCAAAGGCCATCATAGTGAAACCGCCCAATCCCAACAAGGTTGGTATTAAGCAGCCCATACAAATACAAAGGCCATCATATGACAGCACATATGACTGCACCAACCAAGAATCTGTTGGTGAGGGACCAACAGATACACCGACAACACTAAACCAGAATTAGCAAGTATGACAGCACTGATACAAATACAACAGAACTAGCAGCTCAGAAGTGACCAAAAGAATCTTTGTGCAATACAAAACTCAGTCAATTGAAGCAGGTGTCGCCCAATCAGCAAACAACAAACAGCAAACAGCAAAACAACATCTATATCAACAACTCCAAAATGCCACCCAATACCTCATAACAGCCTCCCCAGCAGACCTCAAAATAGCTAAACAGCTCACCATGGTGGACAACATGAGGCAACAGAAACCAGCAGATAACAGAGCAGATCACAGCAGAAAACTAACCAGATAACAGCAAACCAAGTGGTGGCAGACCAAGTTACCAAACCACCTAATATCCCTCAACTGCAGTCCTTAATCTGATCTAGATTGTTGATTAAATCCAAGACAAAGTACATGAACCCCTTTGCAGAAGCTTTAACCCACAGAGCAAATCTCAACTTAATAAGCTCACATAACTCAGACCCACAAGGCTGCACTCCATTAAATATACAATCATTTCTTAACTTCCAAATGGACCACAGAACAATAGAAGGTAAGGCCCTCCACAATCTCCTAACCAATTTCTTATGATTCCAACCTAACCACCAATGAAATAAACAATCAATAGACCTTGGCACCACCCAAAAACACCACCACCATAGCAGCAAATCAGACCATACTTTCCATGAAAAAGGACAATGTAAGAGGACATGAGTGGCAGATTCATTTTCAGTTTTGCAAAAGGCACATAAGATAGAAGCACTGCTATGAAGGACATCGATATTTTGTAAAAGATCCCCTATTTTAACTCTATTCCTCCAGGTTAACCAACCAACCAAAAAATTGAACTTTGGGGGGAATACTCTTATTCCAAACAAACTTGCAAATTTTGAGCTAAGGGCCCAAAAGAGAATTAGTGAACCTATATATATCAGATACCTTAAGCCATGCTCTAATCATGTATGAGCTTTTGTACTTGTGGCTATGTGCAAATGAAGAGCAACATGCAAGCAAATTGATAATTGCATATCTCCATATTCTTCTCAAATATTTAGAGTATCTAATTATTAACTAAAGCACCTTTTGTTGTCAGATCTTCACATTGTTTTCCATTTTTCATCATTATTTATCTATTTTCCTTTAATAATCTGTGTTCCATAATTGTATTGGTTATTTGTTAGGTAAGGTAAATTATGTTGTTGATTTGAGTATTAGACCTATGAAAAAGAAGAAAATTTTATTTTAAAAATTTACCACGTGCCCTGATTATTTAAAAAATTCACCAGGTGGACTTCTTATATATGTTTGAGGATGAATCTAGGATTATCACTATGGTGGTACAAAAATATGTTTGGAGAAATAAATCCTTATTATTTTAATTACTTTAAATATTCTAGCAGAATATATGATATTTTTCAAAATTTTGAGAGGTGCAATCGCCTTCCTCTGCACCTCCCTAGATCCGTCCTTGAGACCTCACCCCGTGTGAGATATCTATATTCTATTATGTGTTTAGCTTTTGTGTTCTTCACATTGATAGATCAAGATTGACCCCTAATAAATATAGCACTAAAGTAAAATTGATTGAGCTTTAAGCTGTTATAGATTAATTGCTAGTAACAACTCAAGCTAGCATGCATAACCATCAATTAATGCAATTTTTAAATTGGATCAATGGTTGGGACTAAACTTCCAAGAAGTTTCGTAAGATGTTGGGCAGGGGCAAGTAACATTTTCATAATGGTGAGATTGTGGGAGTTGATTTGTGACCTCCTCTAAATAAGGGTTGCTCAATATTTTTGAGGCTTTAGAAGAATAAAAAAGCTAGGGTCCTAGAATTTGGGACTCAAGATTTATTCAGAAATGAGTATGTGCAATGGAGATTGAATTAATGATGTGTGGGGTCCACATATGAAATAAATCTGAGCCATTCTTGTGAAATTATAGGTAGTTTCTAGATTTTTATATCTGGGTCCGTAGTATTACTATGTGAAGAAATTATAATAGTGTTTTTTCCATATTCAAATATTACAACCAAGAATATTCACCCAAAAAAAAAAAAATTACAACCAGGAATCATGTACAAATTGTTATTATTTCCCTAAAGGAAAATGATATAGAAGCCCACTTTCCAGACATATTTTCTAAACCTAATGATGTGTAACTGATATGATTGGTTGATGATCAGAAAAAAAAAATAAGAGAGAGAGAGAGAGAGAGAGAGAGACATACACACACACACACACAGAGTGTGCTACTTCAAATATTCTAATTGATTGTCACATCATTGGGCTTAAAAAGTAGGTCTAATTTTTGGCCTTGAATAACAATGCCAATCCCTAAAATCCAAAGGCGTAATTCCAAAGGAAGGCAATTTAGGATTGATGATCAGGAAATCGCAATCTAAATTTAAAAAGGTTATAAAGGAATGATTTTGGATTGTAAAACAAAATGAAATCATATCAGTCAAAAGTAAAAAAATGAAATATGATATTCAATATTAAAATATTTTCAATCAACTCCAAGTCAAGATTAGATGAATTACAATTTTGGACATAATTTTAATAAAAAAAATCATATTAACATTCATATTCAAAATAAAAATGTAGTGTTAAATTTATAATCCATAATTATTTTGTTGGGCAATATTGTAATTTTTTTAAATATCGTAGGCTCGTAATATATATCGATCTTGAAATTATTTTCCTTTTATTTGAATTTGGATAGAAAGAAAATATTCAAATAAGCTTCAAATTTAAAATTGTAATTGAATAAGAATTTTAATTTTTTTTTGTGTGCACGCTTTTCCATGGCTAAGGGTAATAAAATAAATTAGGAAAATCAAACCTGGTTGTTGAACAAGGGTTGTGCTTCAAATCTTGTAGACCAGTTGTAAAAACTTTTAAGGCTCATCAAATTCTGAAGAGTAAGTTTCGTTAATTGAGATAACACGATAATATCATTTTTGGTGGTTCCTTCTTCTTTTTCTTTCTCTGAGACTATCACTTCCACCTTCGGACAATTATCTACCTTGAATATGTTTAGATTTTGCAGTCGTGGGAGCATATTGAACTGAACCACATGCACCAATTTCTCACAATCAGAAACCGTCATATCTTTCAGTTGGCAGAAGGACTTTGATTCTTTTTCTGAAGCTATGAGTAATTGCTTGTCCCATATCTCTATTATGTTGGGCAATTTCTGAATTTCCAAATAATCCAAGACTAGGAAAGCAACCTGTAAAGTAATTTACAATGCTTTAGGTTAGTGACTATTACAAAATTGTGGATAAACAACAATTGATAATTGCAACACTTTTAACATGCATACTCTAATCATGTATGAGCTTTTGTACTTGTGGCTATGTGCAAATGAAGAGCAACAAGCAAGCAAATTCATAATTTCATATCTCCATATTCTTATCAAATATTTTGAGTATCTAATTATTAACTAAAGCACCTTTTGTTGTCAGCTCTTCACATTGTTTTCCATCTTTTGTTTATCTATTTTCCTTTAATAATCTGTGTTCCATAATTTTATTGGTTATTTTTTAGATAAGGTAAATTATGTTGTTGATTTGAGTATTAGACCTATGAAAAAAAGAAAATTTTATTTTAAAAATTCACCACGTGCCTTGATTATTTTTATATTGATAATTTCTTATTTAATTTAACATTCATTTTCTTGACATATCTATTTAAGTTAGATGGTAAAATAAATGAAGTTATTTGAACTCCACTTATGTTGGGCACATTAAAATTATTTTAAGAACGACTCATTATATAAATAAGTTAAAATTGATATTATTTTGAAACTTATCATCAATTTTCTGAGTTCGGCTCGAACTTAGTTCCATAAACTTAAATGTATAATACAATATCAAGTTATTTGAACTCAGCTTGATTAAAGCTCATTTGTGTTCGGCTCAAATGGTAAACGAAGATCATCTTTTGTTGATAAAAAATAAAAAGACCAACTCATATATATTTTTAAACTCATTAAGTTTTTCAAATTAAACTTGAACAATATTTTGTTGTGCCTTTGGAGATGTTTTAGGTTTCTATTTAAGAGATGTTAAGTCCAACTTTAGGCCCTACAGAAGATATGGGCCCACACCACATGTAGATCGTGTTCACAAAAGCCATCCATCCCACAAAGTCCCGCATCGTTCTCTATTTTAGATACTAATCTGGTCATCATGTTTTAAGTTTGTTCTACTAGGGTCTTGTTTGGTTCCTTGTTACGTTGTTCTACATTTTTGTAATTTGTTAGGTTTTGATTATTTCTCATGTATTTCTTTATCTAAAACTGTGTTTGATTTATGAATTTGGGAAGTGATTTGAAAATAAAAAGGGAAAAAGTAGGTGAAGTATCAATGAAATATAACTAAATTTCACGCATAGTTTCCCTTTCACTTTCCAAATCTTTCTTCAAATTTATGAACCAAACATAGCCTAAAGCAATAAAACGGTGGCATTATTTTTGTTACACACACTCCAAAAAAGGAAAATATTATATGAACTACGACAACTCAACTTAGGGATAAACTTTCTGATTTTTACTATTTTTTTCTTTCAAGTTTTTAGATAGTAATATTCAATAAAATGTCAAAGTATTTAATTGGTAAGATTCAAAATAAATACACATTATCAATACATGGCCAACAATGGTGCCTTTCAGGCTGTGGGAGTCGACCACGGGTCACGTTTTGATTATTTAAAATTTTCATTTTGTAAAGTCCTTGTGTATATCATCTAAAAAAAAAAGATTGATCCAATAATCTTAGCCTATTTAATTTATTACAATTGTATCTAAAAAAAAGAATGATAAGTGTGTTTAAAATACATACAAACATATATATATACATTTGTGTTTCTGGTTTTACTGGTCATGTACAACCAAAACTGATGAGGACATTCATACCTGGCTAGTGAAGAGGGATTGTGTTTCAGATCTAGAGGTGAAAAAGCTTTTGAGGCTCTACAAATCTTCAAGTGTCAAACTCCTTAGTTGAAGGAACGAGTTGGTATTATTGTTGTTTTCTTCTTTGTCTTCTTCTTCCCCCCCATTCTTTAATACTGTTACTTTCAACTCTTGACAATAACTAACGTGAAGGTGTTCTAGTTTTGGTAATTGTCGAGGCATAATGGACAAACCGACATTCACCAGTTTCTCACAGCTCCGGATGGTCATGCTTCTCAATTGTCGAAAAGACTCTAATGGAAGTAATTTCCTATCCCATATCTTTGTTATCATTGTTAGTCCATCAATAGTCAAACTCTCCAAGGCAGGGAATGTAACCTGCAACATTCATAACATAATTGTTAAACATTAGACTCCAAGGTCAGCATTATAACAAGTAGTACAATGTAGCCCAATAAATTTATGTTAGTCTTAATTAGTCAATAATTGAAGTCCAATAAATTGATTTTACTATGTTCCAATTAATGCCAAAACTTAAATTGTTGGCTCCATAACAACTAATATGATTTTGTTTTATGTAATGGAAACTATAATAGATTGGAAGTAACAAATCTTTTTGTTGCATTGATGCAACCTTTTGTCCTCATTGTGCAATAGGTGTTGTGCATGAGTTGGTTTGATTGTTTTGACAGCAAATCATCAATTGAATATATTAAGAAAATTTCAACCAACTATAAATCCACCCTTTCTCAAAATTGATGGGTTCGGTAGATTAAAAGTACAAAATGAGAGAAATCAGGCTTCACATTATTTTCATATTTCATCGTGATTTTTTCTATTTGACTTTGATAATCTGTGTTCTATGATTTTATGAAAGGGAATCGTTTGTCTCCAATTGAAATTTCACTGGTAAGAGACCTCCGTTTAATGATTGTTATCGGTAAGAGACCTTAACTGTCTATTCCGTTTGAACTTTCAACTACAGAAAGGATAAATCCCTTATAAAAACACACCATTTTAGATTTACTTAAAATATAGATTGCCCATGTAATTTTAGAAATTACATCTTGCACTTTTAAGTTTCCAGTTGTATAACAAATCACTTATTTCATTAATAAAATTATCAAGTCAATTAATATTTTTAATAATGTCATAAATATATTTCAATTTACTATTCAAGTAATTTTATTATTACATAAGAGAGTAATTAGATTTTTTTTTCTATTAATTATGTTAAACAAAAAATTCTAACAATGCGGTATTTATAATTTCTGGAACCATAAAGAGTAATTTATATTTTAAGAAATATTAAGAAGTGTATTTATAATTTACCTTAATTTTAAATAGTGAAAATCATATGATGCGTGCAAGTATTTGACCTATGGAAAAGAAAAAAAAAATAAAAATTAATCATGACATGCCTTTGCTAGTATGGCTTTATTGTTTAGGTTTTCAGCTCATTTAAGTCAATTGCGATTCTTTTTTTTTTTTTTTTTTTTTTTTTTTTTTTTGATCAGCCCAAAAAACTTCATTGATGATAAAAAAATGTACAAGCATAAAGATTACATCAACAAAGATGAAGGAGTGCAAACAGCATCACAAAAGACCATCACCATCCCAACTAAGTTGGCACCGCGAGGCCTTACCGATCATATGCTAGCATAGCCCGAAATTGGTGAGAGACCAACTAGCAAATAGAGACAACACTAAAAAGAAAAAAAACAGTAGCAGAACAGAGTTTCTCTGCCTCAAGCTAATTGGGCTCATCCCAACTCAAGGCAATAGTGCTCCTCCAAAGCACAACCTGATCTGACTTATATTACAAATGAAATCATTGATTGTGAAATTAAAATCCTTCTGGTGTGGGTTCAACCACAGAGCGATCCTAGTCTTGATCAACTCAAACAACTCAAACCAGTTTGGGTTAGCTGCCTTGAAGACGCACTCATTTCTAAGTTGCCTAATTGATCTTCAGTATGGTGTGAATGGAATAATCTGCACTGTTATGGGACTCTTGTAGAATTTTTATCGATCGAAATAGAAAATCATGGTCGCAAGATTTCTCAGCCTAAGTATGTAGAAGATTAAACAAAAAATGAGATACAGATGTATCATAAAACGTAGGTCTCACATCATGTGGACCTCTTATGTTCAAGAATGAATCTAGGATTATCAATATAGGGGTGCAAAAATATATTTGGAGGTGTAAATTATTTTTTTAATTATTTTAGATTTTCTAGCATAGTATATAATATTTTTTAGATTTTTGGGGGGTGCGGTCACCTCCCCCGCACCCCGCTAGATCCATCCTAGGGACCTCACCCCATGTGAGATATCAATATTACATATTGTGTTTAGTTTTTGTGTTTTTCATATTGATAAAATAAATAAAACACTAAAGTAAAATTGATTGAGCTTTAAGCTGTTATTGATTAATTGCTAGTAACAACTCAAGCCAATATGCATAGTCCATCAATTAATGTAGTTTTTAAATTGGCTCAATGGTTGGGATTGAACTTCCAAGAAGTTTCGTAAGATGTTTTGGGCAGGGGCAAGTAACATTTTCATAATGGCGAGGCTGTGGGAGTTAATCTATAACCTCCTCTAATTGGCAATGTTATCAATTCAAAAATCTAAATCAGTGGGAGGACCAAAAAAAAAAAAAAAAATTAAAATTCAAACAACTCTAATAAAAGCATCATTACAAGCGAAAAGGTTTGCATATTGTTGGCAAAATGATTTGACTATGAACAATGCACCCTTCACCAGTTTCCCAGCAATTTATCTTCCTCATTAGCCACTAGATAGACGTTTCCAATTAGATCATACAATTCTTCCAGGATCTGCCTTTACTACACAAACAAATCCCTTCTAAACTTTTGATTCCATTGAGGACTTGCATCATGCATGTGGCTTGATTGTTAACCGATATACCGCATGGATGATTGTGATTGGTCGAGATGTGATTCTATCACACTATATTCGAGATATTTGGAGTAGAACTTGAGTCTTTGTAGAAGACAAATTCTTAGGGTGGATAAGTTGAGACTCATGTGAGAGGTCTATCCTAATCCAACTAGGATAGATGAGTCCTGGATTAGTGTTATTTTTGTAGAAAATAAGTTTAGTAAGATTTATAAGATAAGGAGGGCACTGGTTCTCATATAAAAAGAGGCACATGTGGGTTAAATGTACGTTTTTATTGGTGAGTTAATTGCTTAAGTTGTTACTGATTGATAGTCTTCGAGATATATTGTTACTAACTTAATCGTCAGAGTGTCATCCTAGTTAGTAACAACTAGTTTAGCTTTTTTATTCTTTGTTTCAAATTTTGAATTCCATCTAGTGCACGTACTTTATGACTTTGTTCACTGAATCTTTATAAAGGATGCAATTTAGTTGTGTCATCAAATTTTAGCACACACAATACCCATTCCATTCCATACTTCCGTGATCGCATTCTTGTGAGAGGAAAAGCTTAATGGCAAATCACCTAAACCATACATCAATTCATAACTTAATATTTAATCCATATCTAACTTTTAAAATCATATTTCCCACCACAATTTTCTAAACTTACTGTCTTTACAATCAAGGCCCACAATTTTACCTTTTTTAACACTTTTTCCAGGGTAAATATTCAAATCCTTTACCTTCATCCTTCTCCACAATAACTTTTCTCCATTGGATTGGACTGAAGGGTGTTGTTTGGGTCCGTGAGATCCATCATAGGTCCCATTTTGATAATTTGAACCGTTTATTTTGTCAGGCACTTTGGGTGTGTTTGATTGGACGGACTAGATAATGGGAGATTAGAATCCATCGAACTTGAGTCCTCGGACTGTGAATCCCCCGGACTATTTGGTTGGATTTTATATGTATCCTGTGTTTGTTTTTTCATGAGATTAGATGTCTAGAAATGACTATTTTTAGTGAATCTAACGTTTTGTTGGACGGACTGGATAGGATAAATGAACAAAAGACTATTTTATCATTTTTCAATTGTGTACTAAGTAATAGCAATATTAAACATATCTTTAATATTTTAATTATTTTTAGCTAGATTAAATAAAAATTTATTTTATTTTATTTTTCACAAACAAATCTTTAATATTTTAATTATTTTTAGTTAGATTAAATAAAAATTTATTTTATTTTATTTATTACACAATTAAATAAATTTATTTTTTTAAATAAAATAAATAAAATATCAATAAAAATATATGTTATTTTTAATTCAAATTTTAAATAAATTTGATTTTAAAAATAATAATGATTAAACAATGAAATTAAATAAAACATCTATTAACATTTAAATAATGAAATTAAATAAAATATAAACAAAATTTTAAAATAAAACATCAATAAAAAGTTAAATAAAATTATTTTATTTTTAAATTGAGACATTTAAATTTTATTAAATTTTACTAAATATAATACATAATTAAATAGTAGAGGGTCAAAATGGTTATTTCACCACCTAATCCCAACAATAAATAATCCCCCCAAAATTGTCCCACACCCCCCCCTCCCCGGATAGTATAATCTCTCATATGGGGGATAAGGAGTCCGGCCAGACTCCATGTCCGGCGAACTAAAAAAAAAAAAACATCAGATTGGATTTACTGTGCGGATTACAATCCGCACTGTAAATAATCCCCCCCCTCCCTTATCTCCCCAATGTATTTCATCTACACAAAAAATTAGGTCGATTCCATAATTATAACTTGTCCAGTTTATTGCGTTTCTCACTAAAAAAATGTATGATTTACTTTAAAAAGTATAATTGTTGTCTATTTTTTTAGTGAAAAATTGAACAAGTTAGAGTTATGGGATCAACCTAATTTTTTTTGTGGATGAAATAAACGAAGTTCCTAACAAAATAAACGGTTCATATCATAGAAATGGGAGCCGTAGTGGGCCTCACGGGATCAAATAGCAGGAGATCCTCCTCCTTCTCAATAAAGGTTGTTTTTTAGGGATCCTTACTCCTATTGACAAATATTATATTGGATCTTATCAAGGGATAATCGTCCTGCTCATGTTTGAATCTTATTCCTTATATATTTGTTTGGGCTTTTCTTTTATACTTTTGAAATTTTTTTTTGTATAAATTATATATTATATTTGACTATTATAATTTATTGAGTTTTATTATAATATCAAATATTATTATTAATCATAGACAGTATTACCATAAACAATTGACCGATCTGGCCTATTTCCACTCTTAGCATGACAATATTTCTTGAATACCCTTTTAGATAACATTATTTTAAAACATTTAGTTGAAAAGTAGATCATTACAGATTTTTCTTTAAAATATAATAATACAATTTTATCCTAAAAAAGGAATAAAAACAATATTGTCATACCATAATTATTTTTCCCGCAGCTTAAACACAATTTAACAAAGTTATTAAATTCTTCATTTCATCAATTACACGGCCTAAATTCAGTTAAAACATAAAATTATATAATCCTTCACTTTTAGTAGGAAAATGTGGTGTGTTGAAGAAAGCTGTTTAGACTTTTTTTTTTTTTAAGATGGCGAAAAGTTGTTTAGACAGAAAGGAGAAATATTATGATACATACTCTTTAAATATGCATTTTATAACTAAAGAAAAAAATTACATAATTCTATACTTTCTAAGTCTTAACTTAAAAGAAAATAAAAATAAAATAATAAATAAATAAAAAATTATAACCAAACACTACATAAGATATAATCAAAGATCTCATAAGTCAGAACTAAAATAATATCATAACTAAAGAAAAAAATTGATCATAACTAAAGAGGAAAATGACATAACTAGGATACATATGATTTCATGAATCATAACTAAATAATCATTTTAAATGGTGTGTATTGTAGAAATTCCCGACTTAAAAACACATTAAATTCCACCTTGAATATTGAAATTAAAAACTTATAGAATCTCCTAAGTAAGAGTATATTTTCTGGTGTCTAGGTTTGATGGTCATGTTTGACTGGGAATCCCATTTACTATTAGATTTTATAATACAAATATTAGAAAATCACAATTTAAATATTATAATTCATCCAAAATGATGTGACAAGACAGTTATGTCTTATATAACTAGATTTGTTATAAATTAAAAATTGACAATTAACAGATCATACCATTATTGTTGATCAAATTGAAAGAACTTTTTTAAGAGTCTCGAAAGTTTTTCATAGCATAAATGTTAGAATTTCGGAAATTTTCAAGCTACTGCATGTATCACAACTCAGTTGCCATTTTCCATTGATGCAATATATGGCTTTGTCGACTGTTGAATTTTAATTGTCCAGTTTGATATAATATTTCTCATATTTATAATTAATCTTATATCAATTTTAAAAAATAAAAAATAACACAAGCATGCTGGCATAAGTTTTTTGCTAGGTTAATTTACCTATCAACATAAATTTGAACTAGTAATGCGTATTTTTAACATTTAAAATAAAAAATTTAGATTAATGCTTTGGGGCTTCATCTAAATTTCACTTCATATAGATTATGGGTAGGGGCTAGGAGCACATTAGTTTTGTTTAGTAGCAGATCTAAAAGTAAACTAATCCCTAAAACTTCATTTGGAATACTTGGTGACAAAAAAATTTGATTAATTAAATTTGAGGTGGAAATGAAATAATAGAAATAATTGATATTTCTCTTCATTTATAGAGGGAAGGGAGAAAGAGTTTCAAAAATCAAATTTTTGTCCTCAAAATGAAGGGAGAAACATTTAGGGACTAATTTTTGTTAAAAAGTCAAAAAAACAGACTTTTGTATAGAAATTTTAAAAATGTGGTTAATAAATACACTTTAAGACAAAACAATTTGGTGCATAAGATATTCACTTTTTTAGACAAATTTTGGTCAAAAAATGATAATAATTTATTACTAAATATCTAATTTTATCGCTAAATATACAACAACACTTTTGACAACTTAAATATTTTGTTCTTAAAAATTAATTTTATTCATAATTTTTTATTTTTAAAATCTTAATTTGTTGTAATTATTTCATGCTTGCCACTGTGTGACCAACCATTTGGTGCTTTTTTTAGGGATTAACAATTTTGATTTTAATTGAAAATACCCTAGCACTGTTTGATTTTATTCGTAATGCATAAAACATTTTATAATAACTAGATATAATAGATTAAAGCAAATAAAAAGGGTATAGATAAAAGCATACCTTTTCATTAAACAAAAATTGTGCCTGGGTAGAAGAATTTCCTTCATATGTTGACATCTTCTCCACTTTGGTGTAGAAGCTTATGAGCTTGGGTAGATTCCAGAGACGCAAATATTCCAACTGACTGAAATTACCTGACTTGAGAGTTCATCTTCATCTTTTTCTTCTTCAATTCCAACTATTGCTTCCATCATTTCACAATTCCATATTTCCAGGAACTGAAGTCGTGGAAATCCTTTTGCACAGGACAGGGAGAAGAGATATTTCAACCTACAATCTCGAATTCTTAATTGAATTAAATTATTGAAGAACCCTGATGGATTTAGTCAATGACGTTCCATCAAAGACCCCTCTCCACCTCTGTCATGCAGCACCTCTTGTAAACCTTCAATTTTTTGCAAATGTAGCGCTTCAGCTCTCCGCAACAAAACGATAAACTTGTCCGTTAAGGAAACACCCACAAGTTTACACCACTTTGAATAAGCTCCATAAAAACCATAATTCGTACCCATACCCATTGATATTTTAAATCTGATCAAGTTTTCAAAGCAGAAGTCCTTGGGCAATAGCATGACATTTGGTATGTGAATCTGTAAAGTGATTAACTTTGCTCCTTTCCTCCCTATGCCCAAATTCATCTAAAATGTATAATTCTTCCAGACGAGACAAATTGGATATGACACCTTGTGGAATCTCTGTGAGCTGGTGACAATTTTCCAGATCTAACAACCGAAGACGAGTCAATTGTCCTATCTCTGATGGCAAAACCTCGATATTAGAACCTCGAATATTTCAAGGTTGTTATTTAGATCCTTGAGTATAGCTATGTCTCCCAACTCACAATAATCTAACCGTAACATCCGAAGGTTAACCAAATTAGCAAGAGACAAATGAGGCAACATACAGATGCTACTCAATTCTAAAATTGTAAGTTTCTCCATTCTACTGAAAAACCTATTTGGAACATTAAGCAAAGGATAGGTACCTAGTATGGTCAAGGTGTGGAGTTGTGGACATACCAAATCATCCGGAAGCTCAAGAGTGTTGTCGAAACTTAACGAGATTGCTGAGGAAGATTTGCATGTATCTTTCTCGGGCCACTCTTTGACACCATGTTTTACTAGAATTTCCTTGCCATCATCTTTCGCAATTGAAAGAGCAACATCTCGAATAACATCATGCATTTTGACAAAGTTTTCATATTCACCTTCTAATAGCAAACAAGCATCTTTGAGGACATCGACCACTGTAAGCACTCGACGGCTTGCTTTTCTTAGTGTATTTGTGTTTTTTTCAAGCAAACTTCTCGCTGTGCAGTGTCTCGCCAACACTTCAATTGAAATAAGCAAACTTCTCGCTGTGCAGTGTCTCGCCAACACTTCAATTGAAATATTAGCATCTTCAAGAAAGAAACAACATAGCAAGAAGCATGATTTTGTATGACTAGATTCTAACCGATCATAACTTCACTTTAAGGAAGCATACACCTTTGGGTCGATTCCCGCAATATTCTTTAGCATGGAATCTTTGAATTGATCAAGTACATCTTCCCAGACATATTTTTTCTTACCTTTCAATGCGGCTCCTACTGCAAGTATAGCAACTAGCAAGCCTCCACACTCTTTACAGACTGCATCAGCTATATCATGGAGTTCATGAGAGTCAACAGAATTACCCACCTTCATCTTGAATAGGGCCCATGCTTCTTTCTCTAATAATACTTGCATTGGAACATATCTATCAACATGCATCATTTCCAACACACCTCGGATTCGAGACGTTATCACAACTTTGCAACAATTGTTTCCATCAGTGATAGGAATCCCTATTGTCTTCAAGTTCAATTCTTGCCACATATCATCCAATATAATGAGATTTTTCTTCCCATTGTTCAATCTATTCCATAATTTGCTTGCTTTTCCCACTTCAGTTTCCCCTTTTAGTTCTAGATTCAAGCGATCAGCGAGTTGCCCTTGAATATTGCTCACATTTGCGTCCTGAGAGACAACTGCAACAACGACTTCATCAAAAAGTCCATTTTTCACTAGTTTGCCAATCTCTTCAACCATTGTCGTTTTTCCAACCCCTCCTGTTCCATATACTCCAATCATTTTAACATTGGAATCTTGTAATACTGCCATGATGTTATTGAAAACCAATTCTCGCGACTCAAAATTCACATAGTTTGTACTTGACGATGTGAATTGAAGTTCCTGAGCAAATGGCTTAGGAAGTGCAACTGTGCTAAACTTGCCACTCTGAGTGAACTTTTTTACTTCTACGATCTTGTTTTCGGCTTCCTTGCTCATTCTGTAACGCGAGATGTAGTCCGGACATAAGAATACAGAGCACTGCATGTTTTCGTTAACAGTATTTTCATCCTTAAATTCCAAAACTCTTTCTTCCACCTCCGCTAGCCAGTTTGAAACAGGTTCATCAACTTCTTCACCACGAGTAATGGCTTCGTCAACTTTTTCTTTGATTTGTTCTATCAGCTCTTCAAGGTTTTTAATTTCAACTTCCAGATTCTCCTGCTTCTTCTTGTACCGAAAAACAAAACCAACGTGGAGCATCACTGGCTCAACTAATCTCCCTGCAATTGCCCCTACAATTGAAAATACACCTTGCAGGGCACTCATTTTCAATCCACCTTTTCTCTTTTTTTTTTTCTTTTTTTTTCTTTTTTTTTGAAACAAATATTGAAGAAGAAACTAGTTTGAGATTCGAAAATTTCAGAGGATAAAGCTCTCTCAATCTATAACTGCAGGTAAAACAAAAAGAGAGACATCAAAGAAGAGAAATAAAAAGTGAAGATAAAATTCTCTCTTTTGCTGATTAGGAAAAAAAAAACGAAAAAAAAAAAAATTAACATTAACTAAGTGAAAAGAGTTAATTACCTAAAAGTCCTATTTACAAATGTTCTGCTTACTCAGGTCTTATTCAAGATTTTTTAAACCAATATCTATTTAATAAAATTGAGAATATTATCAGCTTTTCCCAATTTATAAAAATGACAACATTATCAATTTTATATAGTAATGTTCCACATAATTGTTTCACTAATTGATGGGGGAAAGAAAATAGAACATGGAATTAAACGTTTTTGCCCTTCTACTTATTGGTTTGATTCAACTATCTAAAAAAACTGAGAACATTATCAGTTTTTTCATTTTTTAATTTTTTTTTTTTTTACACATCAATGTTCCATCATCATGCTTCTTTATAGACACAAAATTTTTAGTTTTATCCAAAAAATTAATTTAATTTTTCAATTTTTTCAAAAAAAAAAACATTTAGCTTTTTATTTTTAATTTATATTTTACTTTTTTTGTTCCCTTTCTAAATCTCTCTCTAAATTTATGAATCAAACAGTGTTTATCGTACCTTGAGGCTCTCTCTACAAAAAAAAACTTCTTTTTTTTTTCTTTTTGTAAATTCTGAAAATATGATAAACACCAGAGAAACACTTGAGTAGAGATGGGAAATTATAGATACTACATAAAGCAATCACAAATATTTGTACCTTAACAATCATAACAAAATAGAATCCATTTAAGTGTAGGAAAAATCAGTGAAAAGCCTCTTTTCAAGAATTTGTTTAGCCATAAATATTATGGAAATAAAATGTGATCCAATAAATTCTACATCTGTATGAAATTGTATATTAGAAATCCTTTTATGGAAATTAGATGTTTTTTTATGACAATTTTATCCTTGTTTTGGTCAACATGCTTATATTTATATATATTTTTTGATCGGTAAAAGTCAATTGTTAATTGTTAGATTAATACATATGATAGTTAGCCTCTGCATTCTTTACAAAGTCAAGTGCTTGCCTCTTTAATTCAACTCTCTTAAGGAGATTTAAACCTATGACGTCCCTTAGGGACTAAACCCTTAGGAAAGCCATAGTAGCCAACTGGGTTAGGCCTAGTTGATTAACATGTTTATATGAAAGACTTCTTTTTTTGTTTTTTCTTTTTTAAATGTTTCAAAACTTGAAAATTTTACAACTTTTAAAATGTACATCTGTTTTTTAATATAATTTAAATTTTTTATAAGGCAAAATTTATTTTATCCCCTTATGATTTAAGGCTAAAGCACTTTACCCTTATAATTCAAAAATAGTCAGAAAGATCTCACCATATAGCGATCCCGGGTTTACCCTTGTTGTACAGTGATCCGGACATGTGTCCGTGAATGTTGGTAGTTGTTTATTTTCTAGTTTGCAGTTTATAATGTTTAAACATTAATTCAATTAAAACACAATTAATTATATATTCTTAATCATTTATTGTAATTCTTAACTTTTTATTCTAATTTTAATTTAATTACATTTTAAATCACAATTAATCTTAAATATTTAATTAGTTATTGTAATTGCTAAATTTTAAATCTAACTTTAATTTAATCATATTTTAGATCAATTTCTAATTATTTCGTATTTTATATTCTTACTTAAAATATTTAGTTATATTTTATATTTTAAGTTATTCATTAATTATATTTTAGTTTATTTTAATTAACGTATTAATATTTTTGTTGTATTAATTTCATGTTATTTTTTCAAAAAAATAAACCCATTTTAAAATATTGTGTGTAATACACCTTCTGTCAATTTGAATGAAAAAATTAACGACACTTTAATCCTCCAAAATCACTTGAAAATTTTCTGACTATATTTAAATAATAAGAGGTAAAATGAATTTAATCCCTTTTTTATAACTACTCAGCGAGATCGTTCTCAATTAAATACAAAATTATGTAAAATGAAAAAAAAAAATACACTTTTTTAGAATTTGAAATTGTGAAGAAAAAAAAATTCACTTATAAAATTTCATACTTTTGAGAAATATTTTGTCATGAGACACATCTTCCTTGCATTATAATAGTGTGAATTTTGTAAGAAGTGTGAAAGTTGTAAATCTAAACATTTATGCTTTTAATTATTAAGATATTATTTAGAAAGTATGAAATTTAGCATGAATGCATTTAAAAATATTCACACTTCTTAAAATTTTATATTTTTCTAATTTATTGAATGTGTGAATATTTGTATTTTTTTTAAAATTCCTAGGTAAATTATAATTTGCAACCCTGTAGTTTGTATAGCGATCCCGGTGTTCCCTGTTATTGTTTAACTGTAATCCGGACTCGGATCCGTAGATTCGTTGTTGTCTTATCCTCATTTCAATCCCTTACTCTTTGTGTTGGAGTTTTGGGTTATGTTGGGCAAGTTGGGAATAAGTTGGTTGTGTTTTAAAACTTAGAATTTTTGCCCAGGTTTTGGCTAAACCGGTTAATGGTTTAGGGGAAGATGGGGGATGTACCTCTAAACCGGTTAATGGTTTAGGGGAAGATGGGGGATGTACCTCTAAACCGGTTAATGGTTTAGGGGAAGATGGGGGATGTACCTCTAAACCGGTTAATGGTTTAGGGGAAGATGGGGGATGTACCTCTAAACCGGTTAATGGTTTAGGGGAAGATGGGGGATGTACCTCTAAACCGGTTAATGGTTTAGGGGAAGATGGGGGATGTACCTCTAAACCGGTTAATGGTTTAGGGGAAGATGGGGGATGTACCTCTAAACCGGTTAATGGTTTAGGGGAAGATGGGGGATGTACCTCTAAACCGGTTAATGGTTTAGGGGAAGATGGGGGATGTACCTCTAAACCGGTTAATGGTTTAGGGGAAGATGGGGGATGTACCTCTAAACCGGTTAATGGTTTAGGGGAAGATGGGGGATGTACCTCTAAACCGGTTGTTGGAATGTTGATATAGCTCATATGCTTATCGGTTGAAGTGTTGATACAGCTCATATGCTTATCTATTGAAGTGTTGATACAGCTCATATGCTTATCTATTGAAGTGTTGATACAGCTCATATGCTTATCTGTTGAAGTGTTGATATAGCTCATATGCTTATCTGTTGAATTGTTGATATAGCTCATATGCTTATCTGTTGTAGTAGTGATATAGCTCATATGCTTATCTATTGAAGTGTTGATACAGCTCATATGCTTATCTATTGAAGTGTTGATACAGCTCATATGCTTATCTATTGAAGTGTTGATACAGCTCATATGCTTATCTATTGAAGTGTTGATACAGCTCATATGCTTATCTATTGAAGTGTTGATACAGCTCATATGCTTATCTATTGAAGTGTTGATACAGCTCATATGCTTATCTGTTGTAGTAGTGATATAGCTCATATGCTTATCTATTGAAAAGTTTGTTTGATTTGATTTAGCACTAAAATGTATATCATCATTGTTTGCGATATATGGAAGTAGTTTATGTGTTATTGATACAACACCAAAATGTGTATCCACCTTGGATTTTGAAAGTGTTCTAGTGATGAACTATAATCTCATCAAATGTTTTGGCCAGAGTACTGAGCCTTGTTTTCAAACTCAAAGTTGAATGGAAAATGAAAAGCGAATTGTAACATAGACTTGGCTGTCTTGGAATTTTAATAAGATGTGAATGGAGATGTAAGTATTGACCATCTATCTGTTGCTAATCTTTTAGACATTGTTCATTGTCGGTTTAGTATATTTCTACTGGGCTGTGGCTCACCGTATATGGGAACATCATTTTCAGGTTCAGGTAGCATGCCACCTCTGAGGACATAGCTTGGGAGGCTAGAGGCAGACATACCTTTGTCGTCTTATTCTTTCTTGATTGTTTCTCATATAGATTTGAGCCTAGGACTTAATGTGTATTTAAGCTAGCACTCTCTTTTGTAACCATGTGTTAACTTGGAAAGCTGTAAGCCCGTAAGGCATTTTGCTTCTGTTGTAATCATGTAATACTTTTGTAATGAAATACTCTGATGAATAGATGAATGTGGACTTTTATGTATCAATGCTTGTAGCTATATGGATGGGTTTAATGTTGTTATTTTGAGGGCGTTACAGTTTGCACCAAATTCGCTTTGGCCCTTATATATGAAATCATGACAACCAAGTCATTACACTTCTAGTCAAATCTTTTGGTCCTTACACATGAAATCGTGACAGTCAACTCTTACATTTCTGGTCAAGTATCAATGTCTCCCTTTTGTTACTCCACCGTATAAATCTTTAATAGAGGTCAGTAATGCGACAAACATATGACTACAAAATAAGAGCAAAGGAGGAAAATCATGCACATTTCCCGCTTATACACATCACAAAATTTACATCATATTTTGTCTATATTCAATTAAAACAAAACACAAATTATGAACAATTAAAGAGACAAATTAAGATTTTTTGTAGAAATAGAAATTACAAAATTCTGTTTTTCACAGTAATGATAGAATATTCCTCTTCCCTTTTTTTGATTTCTCTGCTACCTTTATTTATTTGTAAAGAGTTATGTTTTCTTTACTTTTTGTCCTAATTTTCTTACATGTTTATCACGTGAGACAAAGTATGTATTGGTGGAAAATAAGGATAATTTTCTTCTCTTATCCTCATTTTGTAGTCACATATTTATCATAAGACTGAATTCTTATTAAAGACTTAAACAATATAATAACAGAATAGGACATTGACACTTGACCAAGTGGAGAGAGTTGATTGAAACGATTTTATGTGTAGGGACCAAAATGAAATTTGACCAAAAGTACAGAGGGTTAATTGTCACGATT